GTCTGCTCTGGCAGCACCGAGGTGCAGGAACCGAAGAGGAGCCCCAGCGGGAAGCCCTTGGTGATGTTCAGATGCAGGTATTTCGCTTGATGCGTGTGCACGGCTGCGCGGCTGCCGAGCTGACAGCTCCCGTTGGTGAGGCGCTGAGACCCGACTGAAGGGAGTTGTGTTTCCCGTGGCTGAAGCGCCGCTAAGGGAAAACCGCAAGAACTCGGGACAGAAAATGCATGTTTAGCACACTCTGCCCTTTCTGCGAGGGTGAGCCGAAAGCAGCTTTTAATCAGATGAGGGGAATTAACCAAATACACATCCAGAGGCTGTCCAGGACTCTGTCCAGGTCTTAAAAATCACCGAGATCATAAACAAATTAGACTGTTTCCTCTTTACTTGGCTATCAAAAATAAGCTCTGTGTCCTGCTTTTAAAGGAGCTGCAATAAGTTTTTCAGGGATTAGATGCACCAGGGACAGGAGAGACTTTCTGGGGCCTGTGGTTCTGGTTAGAAAAAGCCTCTGTGCTGCGGTTGGAAGGGGTAGCGCTCCCTCCTCGTCCCTTTGGGGACGGGGAGCTGGGAAGACGCTGCGCAGGTCCTGCAGCCTCCCCGGATGGTGCCTGCATCCGCTACAGATCGTCTGAGCTAACGCCTTACCCCGCTCAGATGCGAGGGGTGCACCCAGCTCTCCTGGCTTCAGCGAGAAAAGCGTTCTTGGGAAGCGCCGACGTCCTCGCGGCGTGGCCTTCTCCTGCCGGATGGGCACGGCGGCCGTGTTGGTGCTGGCCCCGGTGGTGTTGATGCAGTCGGGAAGGTCGTGGCTGGAGGGTAGCTCTTCTGTTCCGTGGTTCTCCACTTGCCAAAACAGCCTGGAACCGGCGCTTCGAAAGCGTTACGTACGTTGGGGCTGTGCCTAAGCCAACGGCTTCCCAATGCCACTGTCGCTAACTGAACAGCCCCAGCTCAGCTCGGTTCCTTTCCCTGCTGCTTCAGCTACACTTTCCCATTAAATTCCATGTTTCCTCCTGGTCTGTCCTCTGGTAGCTAAACCACAGGGTTTATAGAAGAGAGGTCCACTGGAAGTGGTGCTTTCTGGAAGAGCCTCTGGATTGGGGCGTGGGTCTCCAGCTCCGCTGGCTGGCTTTGCAGGGCAGGTTGGGAAGGGCCTTGCAGAGGGCTGGGGTGTTTCTGGGGAGCCCTCGTGGAGCACAAACCTCTTGTGTGCTCGTGCCGGGGACCCGAGACGCAGGGACCACAGGCGTCCCGTGCGTGTGAGGACGTGGTGGTCGCTGCTGCGCCCAGCTCGTCCCCAGGGTGGGTCAGGCAGCTGGAGGGTGCGGGCGTCGCTGCCTGGCTTAACTGGTGTGGGCCTCAGACTGGGGGCTGATTTGTGCCCGTCATCGCTTGTTGGGCCAGAGCTGAACCTGGCAGCTGTCCCCCTGACAACCCTGTAGCTTTTGTGGCTGTAGGAAGGGCTTTCCAAAACTATTCCGGAACCTGCTGTGTGCCCAGGCGTGCAGGCAGCCTCGAACGGCTCCGGGGACAGTGGGAGCTGCTCGTTGATGCGAGCCCTGCGCTAAGTCCTGTCGGTGGGTTTGTACAGGCAGCAGAGGTGTGTTGCTGTTGGTCCTCCTGTTCCTTTTGGTGCAGGGCTCCTACGGGGGAACAAAGCCTGGTGGACCCCATTAGCGCTGATCTTCGGCTTGCTCTCCTCCCCCAGCGCCAGCTGCCCGCCAGAGCC